TCACCCCATACCCATTCCTGATCCTGACGGGCTAACTTCCTCAGGTGTTCAGTCTTAGCGGCAAAGTTCTTGACGAAGGCCCTCCAAAATCCACATGTACCAAGGAAGCTCTTGACATCAGTTATTGAGTGGAACGGAACTGGCCACTCAGTAATCTTGTCCGTCTTTTTCACATCCGGCCTTCGGCCCTTCTCATTGCAGACTATCCCCAAGATAGTCGCTTCCCTCATGCAGTGTTTGGATTTGGCCCCGCTTGCCGTGAGGTTATGCTCTTCGAGCAGGCTCAGGACCTTTTCGAGGTCCTGAATGTGCTTCCAGACAAAGTGCCTTACCCCTGGTGAGACTTCGTCGCTCTCTTTCGTCGTCGGCCCCTTCACTGCCAAATCGTCAATGTATGGCTGTGTGATATGGGGGCTGACTGACTGCATGACCCGAATCATGGCCCGTTGGACCATTGCTACTGCGTTGGTCCACCCTTGTGGGGCCACGTTCATGTGGACTAATCCTCGCGGCGTGTGCATAGCTGTCACCGGCCTATCCGGCGGGTAGACTGAGAACTGATCGTATCCTGGGTAAAGGTATATAAGCGAAATTATAGGTTTTCCAACACAGGATTCCGACAGCGCGTCTGCATTCTGCATTCCTCCAGCATCTCGCACGGTCATTGCATTCAATCTCTACAAATCCTGCACCCACCGCAGCGTCCCGTTAGGCTTAATAAAGTAGGACCACGGGGACGCATACGGTCCACTTGAATAGTCGGCGACGTGAGTACGTATCTTGCCATCGAGATAATCCACAACCTTTCTCTCCTCGTCAGGATTGGGATACCGTGCCCCTCTCATGTTCCAAGGCTCGTGTGACACGGTGTGGATGCGGATCATAGGTATCTTATCTACATCCAGCCTGCCACGTTCCTCGTCACTAAATGCATAGGCGCGATGCTTCCTCTTCATTAATTCCACCATCAGCGTTCGCTCCTGGGGCAGTAGGAAATCAGATTCCCCTATGATCAACTCCTTCTCGTTCCCTTCGTTGATACGACATGGCCCTGCTAAAGCACTTTTCCTCATTTGTCGAATCAACCCTCGTTCCCTCTCGTAATATGCTTCCTCGTCCTCTGTAACGAGGACGGGTACCGGGCGGCATTTCTTATCTACCGTCTTGTACCGCCTTTGAGAACCCTGCTTGAGCCGTCCCCTAAAAAAGGCCGACTCACGGATTGTGTTTGCACTGATGCGGGGTTCCCTTCACTGCCTGGGAGCCGAAATACCGGTTCCAACCTTCCAGCCTCAGGGCATTCCAGAACTTGTTCCCTCAAGGCCTGGATGGCATCCGGATCTGCCATCTCATGCGCGGCCACCAGGTCCATGGCCTTCCCAACATCTGACAGGCTGAGGGAAAATGCTTCCACCCTCTCTCCTACTTCGGGCTCTGCCCAGAGCCTTCTGCGCTTCCCTTCCGACTCCTCGATTGTGAATGATCCTGGATTGGGCCGGTTCCTTATACTCCTTGGCCCGGTATTCCGGCAAGTAATTATTTCATAATTTCCGCAGGCAGGATCGCATAAGAGGAGGATCAACGTCCCATCATGTTTGTTGAACATCACGTCTTTGTCTTGCTTAGGAATGACCTCCCYAGGAGGATTCCATGGTCCACGTTTAGCATTATGAAGAAACATGCCCTGGCCTTCACCTTTCCAACCTCGACGAGCACATTCGAGGCTGTCCCGCAAAACATGGCCTTACAACTGGCTCCATGCAGAATACCGCAGTCAGAACGGTCTATATCCAGCCCGAATCTGATCGCGTCCGCCTCCCGAATAATGCTCATTTCTGCCCCGGTGTCCACCATTGCTGCGCACTTGGAACCCTTCACCATTAAATTCACCGTACCGCAGGCTATGCACTTCTAGTCCATCTTCGTACCTTACTCTGCCCACTCTGCCTCCTTGGGCAGGATCGTACCCAGATGGACATTGGGCACCAGGCGCCGTGATAACCTCCTCTTCAGTTCATCGCGGAGTCGCGGGGCTGACGCTAGGATTTCCTTCAGGGTCATGAGGTCATTATGCCCTTCCAGCAGCCGGTCAATCACCTTCTCTACGTCAAATCCTTCTTCCAACCGGACCGCGTATTTCTTCTTTTTGGGCGGTCCGTTCTGTATGACCGGTTCGGCCTCTCCCCTGATCCCATTTTTCCTTGCCCGCTGCTCCGCTCTCTGATCCTCTTCTCTGCGCAGCCTCTCGTCCTCTTTCTCTTCGTCATCGTCGTCCTCTACTTCCACAGCCTCCTTCCTTCTCCCTGGTTAGTGTTCCCCCCTTGGAGGCTCTTGGCTGGTACTGGCCTTGGCTTGATTCCTCGTTCGCGCTGCCTGTGCCAGCCGGGCTTGCGGAGTGAGGGGTCTCCCCCTTATTCCTGGTTGAGGGCACGACCCCACCACATTTACTCCGGGTCGTCCAGGCGCTGACTCCGGGCCGGAGTCATAGAGGAATACTGTGGGGATGTTAGACCTCCATCCTTTCACTTCTTTACAGAGGTCCACCAACTTCTGTTGGTATCTCCCCATCTTATCCAGCAAGTCCTTCATCTTCTTAAATAAGACGGACGGAGACTCCGTTCTTTCCTCCTCCCCCTCGTCATCTGACTCGATGATTATGGCCTCTTCCGTCTCACTTCCTCCTCGTAGCCCTTGAGTCACTTCCTCATCACTTCCCACTTCTTCCACCCCAAACGGTGGTTCCTCCTTTTCCTGCCATAGCCTGAACATGGCAAGGGGCGGTGGTCCCGCTGCCGCTCTTCGTTGGGCTTCAGCTCTCACTCCTCCAAGCCTTCTGTCAATGACCTCCCCAAATTGATCGTAGATATCCCCATCCATAGTCGAGGAAATCAGCCCGTTTCTCTCGTCTTCCCGTCTTATATTACAGAACCTTATAGTGTGGCCTTGCTGGTCACAATGTTGACAGATGGCCGTCCTCCAGTCAAAGCGGGGTCTTCCATACCCCTGACTTCCCTGATCCCCCTGGCCTTGATACCCCTTGCCTTGATAGCCCTGGCCTTGGTACCCCTGGCCCTGACTCCCTTGGCCTTGGTACCCCTGGCCTTGACTCCCTT